TGGTCCTCTCCCCTGCAGATATGCCCTAAGCAAGCTGAGGATTGACGCACATGCGGTGACTACCGGGCACTCGATTATCTAACCGTACCAGATAGGTATTCTATCCTCACGTACTGGACCTCACCGCATGCCTTACAAGTAGGACGAGCTTTAACAAGATCGGTATAATTTGCGCCTATTACCAGATACCTGTAGAAGAAACGGACATTCTTAAAGTATTCTTCAACACTACTTTCTGTTTCTGAATTCTTAAGTATGCCTTTCAGACAATGCAACGCTACACAAACTTGCCAACGCTTCATTTGCGATGTCACTCGTGACCTAGGTTCTGTTTCTTCCTACGTCGATAATATTTTCCTAATCAGTTCATTGGAAGAAGAGCATCTCGATCACCTGAGCGTTCTAGTTTAGCGCTTGTCCGACTAAGTGCGAAGTCGGCAAGCCAACTGTATAATATTTAGGTCAGATCTTTCATCGTCTGGTGTCGTTCTCCTTCCTGATAAGACCAAGGCAATTAAGTTCTACCCAGCTCCGACCTCGTTCAAGTACCACCGTCGAATTTTTGGTTTCGTCAACTACTATCGACGCTTCCTACCGTGCTGCACTCAGTTCATGCAGCCTCTAACTGACCTACTCAGAGAGAATGAACGTAAGTTTGCTTTCGTTAACACTGCACGGATAGTCTTCTCCAAGCTCAATATGATATCTCCAACATTGCACTCTTCGCGCATTCCGAATGGACCACACGGTTTTCTATCACGACTGATGCCTCAGACGTCACAGTAGTAGTCGTCCTCCAACCACACGTTTGTGGGCAATGATAACCGCTCGGATTCGTCTTCAAACGCTAGTAACCAGCGGAATTTTGCTACAGCACGTTTGGCTGAGAACTACTTGCCATGTTGTGATAAAAGAAAACAAGATATAGTTTATGTACAATGTTGCATAAGATAAAAATACCTCTCCAGGATATCGAAATAAAACTTGTTGAGTTCCATCATTAGGTGATAGTTTATGTTGCAAGGTAGAAACAAAACACGAGCTCTTGAGAGCTTATGGTTAACAGTAAGCATTTTACAAGCAGAATTGGCGTCATCGCAGTTAAGACGTGAGTGTCGAGCAACGTTGAGAAATACCGCATACGCGACATCTGAAGGGGTTTACCCTAAGAACACCAATACAAGAGCGCTATGCCAAGAATAAACAGTGTTCTCAGATTTACATCTGACTTGCCAAGGCATGGTATTAGCAAGCAATCGAGTCATCATTATCTGCACCTTTCCTCATGCAATTACATCCAAAGCATTTTCATATTCCTCGTTAAAAATGCATGTTCCTCCATAGATCGCTCAAGAAAATTGCCAACTCCCTTAAATTGTATCCAACTGGCGCAAACCGAGCTAAACTCCACTAATCTTTGAGCAGTTTATCAAAAATTTGGCTACGGCATCCTACGTAAGGTACTCATCCATAGTACTTTCAGCTGCATTGTAGATAAAAACCAGACAAACCGAGTAACTTATAGCGTTTTGCATGCAATATAATGGCGTCAAACCACATTTTGAAATATCTATAAGGGAACTAGAATTCCTTAAAGAGGAACTAGAAAGCCATATGGACACAGTTAATTGAAAAAGGCACAGACTAACCATATCCTCTAAAATGACGCAAAAGATTAATTTATACGTAACTTGTATTTGAGAAATTTAGTTGTCATGTGTTAAAGCTTTGACAATGTCTCGTACACCTACACAACTATACATTGGTTCTCTCTAAGTTAACTTATTGGATTGACGGGTGCTACAATTTTCGCCTCAAAATGCTCTATGTCTATTTGTTGAGAGCTTGGATATACAACAGGGTTTTTATGCTATGGGTTACAAAGAGGATAAGGGCCGGTAAAACGGTTTTTAAGGGTAATCTTTCTAGCCTTTATTAGCCCCGGGAATCTTTTAGAGAACTAGAAGCCACACTGATAAAGGGGCCACCTATTTTGAAAATAATTTTAACAACATAAATGTTTCAAGCGCAAATTCCTGAACCTAAAGTTGAACAGGCCCTATCTTACGTTACTTTACTTCGGCATACATATAATACAACTGGCCGATCCATGTACGTAAACCCCACTAAAATAGCGCAAATTTATCATCATTGCTTTATTATGATAGCGATTAAAGTGTAGTTGGTGAGGTGGGAGAAATAAGTACATAAGATAGCAAAAACGTGAAAGCCTTACACATAATTTCGAAGGAAACTAAGAACGGTAAGGCATTGAGTATATAGGTTATTATCACGAAGTGGCCTAAAGATCTTCTGCTTAGTTTTGTGCATCACACTTAAAAATTAAGCCTAGGTTTCAGTAACCACGTATTTAGAAATTAGATTACAAATGCAGTCAATCGCAAGTTAACAACGGCACAACAGCTGTAACTAGTTTAGGGCATGAAAAATATACCAAAAGTCAGTAATCAGATTAAAGTGCAGTGTTGTCTTTTCTCAGCCTGTTGCTGTACTGGTGAACTTAAACCGTATATGCGCAAATAAACCGCATGCTCCAATGTTGAATGGCAGAGACTTCGTTCAAAACATGGAGCAAAGCAAAGTATTTCACAAAACTAAACTTATGATATAAAGGGCCCAGTAATATTACAGCTGAGAGAAAACGGTCAACTCTTACACACTACAAGGCTGCGTTTCGGTAAACGCTTAACTACGATATATTATATTATTAGAAAAATGGTAAATAAGTTTATGCTGCTCGTGTAGACGAATAGTGCTACCTGAAAACACAGTGGAAGGCCTGCAAGCTATACCAGTCTACTTTAAGTAAGCACCATTAAGATAATCGACAAGTGGACAAGTACGAGACAGTTCGTTGCTTTTTTAACATGATGGTAACAAACAAGGAACACGCATTTGGGTCTACTAGGGGTTTAGTTAACCACGGTGCTCTTAACCAGAGAACGGATGGTACGGAGTCCAGTTGTGGCAAAATTGCGGCAAATTGATAGAACATTAGCCAAAGTTTGCAAGCGTGGATAACTAAAAAAGTTTCTTAAATGAAACAATAGTAATGTAAAGCTGATATAGAAAAAGTATAAACTCTTTAGATATAATTTTAGTATAAACGTTATCAGATTTACTTTACTATCGCCTTTCTAAGCTCGCGGTGCAAAACATACAACAAAAAGGGAGAAGAAAAGGTAAACATGCCACGCCTCTGCCTTGCAGTCACTGATGCATACACCTATCCTCTGTTGGTACAGCTTAAGGGCCAGCCTTCCCGTTTGGGTGTTTTCGGACATCCGTTTAGATATGAAGAATATTAGCATAATTTGTCTAAACGCTATATCAAAAATTATAATGCATGCTTAAAGCAACTGATTATACCCCCTAAGGGGTACCTATTTAAAATAATAGTTCGTTGTGCCAATGAACTTATAGCCAGCAGCTAAGTGACTGAATTGTGTGCCCTTGTCTACCTCAGTGAAACACATTAGACAAAATTCATTTACTCGGAAAAGTTCAGATGGAACCCCAGGTTTTCAATACTGCGTTACGACAATGGAATAAATTCTCAATAGGTTTGAAGGCCGTCTGCAAACAGAATTGCACTCAAAGGGTATATCAAAGCTAGACTGGAAAGCAATTTTTGAGCACCTATTAGGTGACCAAAATGTGTTTCAGCAGGACAGGATAATCCAGTGGTCACTTCAGCATATATGAGATCAGCACACATGCTAGTTAACAACTAGATTTAGCATAATGCACCCTGTCCGAAAAGATGGACCGTAGCTGTCCTATTTCTGTGTGCTTTCGATCAATCACCTAAAAAAGTGAATAGGAATATATAAGATGTAATACGTCTGGATTGGTTTGTAAGGCAATATTATAAAAATGTAACGCCGGTTTTAACTGGCAGTGAGCCATTTTCTTTTGGTAAAACCGTAATTTTAGCCTGCAAACGTAGCTGTTTTAACACCCAGGGTGACGGCTTTTTAAACTTACGCCCGCGCTAGTTGAACACATTTAGACGAAGACTGGCAACTCATAAAGATTCAGTTGAAAGTTACGCTTCCAGGACTGCGTGGCTAACATGTTAATAATCCGTATCCAAGTACTGCAGACAACATTTGCAACTCTTTAGAACGCAAGGTGTTTCTAAGCGACCGAATTTCGTCCTCAATATGTCCAACTGAAACGGTCGGAGTCAAAAAGTAGGTCACTCAAGGAGCTCCAACTGTCAATACGGCGTATTTTATTCATTTACTCGCGCTGTGCGCGACCTAGTCATTCGCAAGAACTAAATTAACCCCTGTCCATTATGGATACGGGCACTTGAGCAACTGCCGAAAATGTGAGCACCAATTCCTACTAGCTACTTTTCGCATGATTCAGTGAGCACCATTGTAATACACTATGAGTACACAAAAAGCAAATACTATTCAATTTGCGACTTATCTTGCGAGCAACAGGCACGAAGCATGCAGAAGTAACTTACATATATCAGAAGACCATCGTAAGAGCACAGGCATAATTCCTAAATATTCTAGTATCTATCGCGGCAGGACAATCCAGAATGGATAAGTTCCAAATCCACCCTTATTTTATCATGCGCAAGGCTTTTCGCTTCCAGCTCCCTAACTCATGATATATCAAAAGCCCTCCTGCCACAGAGCATAGTTCATCACACATGGACGCCGAAATTCCGTGTCATGAACACGAGCGAAGGTAAATAATGGGGACGAAAAATGATAAATATTAGCAACAGAGTTTAGTTCACACACTAAATCATAGACACAAACTGGCTTGCGAGGTTGCGAAAGATTAAACACGTTAGGATTAGTGTACTGTTAGGGTAAAACATGGGACATAATCCTATAAAAAACCATCCCGTTCGCTGCAACAGGAACACTGCTGAACTAACTGAATTATAAATTATCTATGCTCCATCCTTCCGCTATTGTGCGCAAGATTAGAAAGGACTGTTAGGCACTAACCCTGTTTGATTTGGCAAGAAGAGTGTGACCACTTTTGTGTTCCCGCCACCGACGAGCTGCTCGGTCTCCATCACCGCCAAAAGCGCCACCTAAAATGTTGCCGTTTATCTAGGTCGAAAATTAGTATAAATGTAGGAATAGTAAAACAAGCCGGCAGCTAATTTAGCAATAATAACTAATACCGCTTAGTGCTAATAACTAAAAATTAGATACTTGCACCAATCGTGTTTTTTAATATTTAACAAAGCACATGCAAAGGACGTACTGCGTAATATAGAGGTTCCATCTCACCCAAAATAAATATTAGTTTCTTAGTTATTATGTTGCTAAGACTGAAATTTACCATCTTTTACGAAGCTCAGAAAGCATTAAAGAGATAATGCCAATATAAATGGTGGACACTTTTAACGTACACGGGACTCCTTGATTGCAATTAATCAAAAACAAATATTTCTTATGCTGATTTTCTTTATTTACCAAGCAAAGAAGTAGTTTCAAATGTTGCATGCGCAGTTTGCAAAAGTAGACAAAAGTCGAAAAATCGGCCGTAATCGCAATAGGCCCTTCTTTATATTAAAAAAGCGCATCCATTTTAAAGGGTAAATTTCATAGCTTTTTAACACCGAAGAGTTAATGCCTTTGTATGCGATCTTTACTAAGATATATGCTGGTCACACTAGCAAGTCTTTCCAACTACTGCATGGTATCCAACGCAGGGAGCCTAAACCTCCCGAAATCATGTTATGAGGTCGGGTACGCTAGAAGTTTTCGGAGCTATTGAGAAAAGCGTAATGGATGAGAAGTACTACACACTTGTATCTAAATTTGCACATGTATATGGTCATGTCTTTTCCGTAAAATACTAGTTTAATCTTAGAGTAAACATATTTTTTCTTCCCTTTTTGCTTCTTACTTTAATGTAGTGTTTTCTCTATTATTACTTTAATTTTTTCAGTTGCTTTATACGTCTACACTATTTATCTAGACACTGCTTGCACCACGCAGTTGCCACAGCGCTCATTAAAAGCACCCAAGCCGAAAAACATTATCCGCCATGTCATGAGTTTGGTACTCCCCCAAATGCACTGTTTTAAATTTTATACACTGTTAGGATTCTAACTTCAAAAGACAACAAATGGTTACAATGAACAAAATACACGCTGGCGCTTCGACTGCAATAAATCAGTTCTAAAGATGGGCATGTTTTTAAACCATTGTAGTAGTTTGCGCATAAACCATCCTTCGGTCAATTCACACTCCCATTCGCTGTACAAGCAAAAGCCTCTAGCAAGATTCCATAGTTGTGCCGAGCCTGAAGTTCTAAAGTAACATGTTTTAGGTTAGTAACCCATATAAGAGTTTGACAGGTCAGTGGGAATAGCCTACTGCATCGTCAGATACCTGCCGTGTGGTTTCACACTTCTGACTAATACACATTACGAATTTTCAACTCTCGGTACCCCCTCATAATTTTAGGCCGGATGGTAAACGGTATACAACGTATATATTACTACAGAAGCTTTCCGCATGCATCCTCGTTCCACTCGTCGATGCAACTTTAGTAAGACTTTCTGAAACACATTTGTGGATATTCTTAATGTTCGTTTGTATGCCTTACTTCCTGCTCACATACGATTGTTGTTAGCCTTATAAAACGCAGAATATCACACATGTATCTGTTTGATGACTACACCTCAATCGGCTTCTAATATCATAGCGGTCGTCCAACTAGGGCGAATACGACAAAACTCAAAGGCTTATGTAGCTTAATCGCCACCTAGCTTTGCTCCATAGCCAAGCAGCGACCTCTCATGAATGACAGCATTGTTTTGCCTCCCTACATTTTCTGCTATACTGGTAGACCAACGTCTAACAAACCTGCATGCCTGACTTGTCATTCGCGGAACGTTAAACATTGGTAGCCAGGCAGTAGGCGGAGCCATCGCACCAGAATGACGTCAGCCATCTACTTGATAGGTAACATAGCAACAAGGGAAATAAGACGTTTAGTGCCTAGAAGAGCGCGTGTACTAGCTGTCACGTTTCCAAGTAGTGAATATGAACGATTGGATTGGTATTCAATTGCTGCAATTGCTGTGAAGAAGTTCATCACAGACCGTCCAGGAAAACTTAGCAGAAAAGTATATGTCAACGCTACTTACGTGGTAGCACCCTTTTGGTGCATAAGTGAAGCGAAATGATGACGACCGTGGAGCGTACGATGACTGGTGGAGTGGCACCTCAAAATTAGTCGGGGTAGTTCTTGACCTCAAACCAATTCCTAAGCTCCGCTATAGAATGGCTTGGGGAAACCAAAGGGTTGCCGATAGCATGGCACCAAGTGACTACACCTTAGGAACTCGCATGCAGACCATCAGCCTGTGTCCGATGAGGTCCATGACCTCGATAACTTTAAAGATTAATAATGCTTTCCCGTGGCCTTTTTGGGTTGCATGCTACAACTAGCCGCGCGGGTTCATCTGCCAATGTAGAGAACCTAACAAAATATTTAACAGTTCGTTGGCATGCAACACAAATCAAGGTGATCAGACAAGTTTCTAATTAACCCAAACAGCTTTTGGGTATTCTCCAACGAAATTGCGCCAATGGGCATGCGGAGTACCACACCACAAGAGGAAGCAGGCTTGCTCTCATCCAAAGATGGGCGCACTAGGCGAAACGCCGTTAGGGTGCTAGGTTCTAATGTACCTATTGACAACTCGACATTCAACATGAACACCACAGCTCCATCAATTTCGACCAACCGCTCTCACACATCAGGAATCCTGCAGAATGTCTGGTCGCCGAGAAGTGCTACACCTACTGCTGCCCCTTTTTTATGGAGTCCTTCAGGGTGTGGTCCACCAAGCCAAGTTCTCCAAGAGCTTGCCC